AACAGTCATCATCTTATTATTTTAAAAGCGATAGCGGTCAAACCATCGACTTTAGAAAAAGACAGATACATGTTTTTTTATACTCTCAAGCTGCTATGAATCTAAGATTAAAACTATTTTTTATACCAGGATGGCCGAGTGGTTAAGGCGCCAGACTTAAGATCTGGTCCTCATAAGAGGACGTGGGTTCGAACCCCACTCCTGGTATTCATTTTCAAAGAAAGAAAAAAAATTCGAAGTACTTTATTAAACTGGTCGTTCTTATCGAATTGATTCAAATCTAAATCGGATTCTCAGCTTATAATTCCTCATTATTCTGCCTTAAATGTTTCTTGATCGTTGATAACAATGGACACATTTTTGTATTTTTTAGGGCTGAATATGATCAACACTGCATGGTGAAGGTATGCGCTCTAATGAGTGCCCCTCTGGTTGTAGCATGTTGTTAGTCAAATAGAAAATAATCACCATAAACAAACATTAGAGATATTCCTCAAAGTTATTCGAGCTAATATGATCATAGAAAGTTTCTTCATTTAGAAATTCTACACCCGTTGTGTTGGACATTAGACTTTTTGACCTTCACATTATGTCTCCCCTATTGGATAAAACTGACATTTTTCATTAAGCCTAATATGCTATCATCAATATATATCTAAGTACAATGACATATTTATCAAGTATCACATATATTAAAACACTTATTAATAAAACTTCATGTTAGAAAAATATAACTTTATCCAAGATTTATCACAAATAATGTGCATACATTCTACCTTGTAAAGCAAAATCTGTAAATTTTCTTGTTTGTTTGTTTTTTGTTATGCACAAAGCTACACAAGGGCTATCTGTGCTCTGTCCACCACGGGTATCGAAACCCGGTTTCTAGCGTTGTAAGACGGAAGACATTCCGCTGTGCCACTGGGGGGCAAATTTTCTTGACAAAATATTTCAATTTTGTTGCATCTTACGATAAAAGATATGGTTTACAAGAAAAGGCGATTCTTTCACATTTTATAAATACATCACGTTTACTGTTTATTGTTACAGAATATATCTTACATTCAAAATAAGTTGTATGTAAGTTTAGCTTAATGAAGAACGGATTTTGTATGTCATTGAACTTAACAGTCAGTAAAAACAAAATTTATTTATTTTTTCACTTTACATAACATACAGAAAGATAAATGTACATTTATGATATTCTCAAGATTTGAGAATATCATTAGGAAGCTAGTTTCTGTTTTAAGATACATATTTCTGTTTTCGATCTAGAACTCTCATATCTGTAGTTTAAGACTATTATTGTTTACAAATATAACTTACCAAGATATATACATATTCTAAAGTCTTCAAGGTGTAATTGTTTAGACACGTAAAGAAATATCAGTACCGTCCATCTCAAATTTATTTGAGTGGGCAAATTACGCTGACAGCTCAATACCATTTTATATTTAGGAATAACACACCCTGAAACATGTATGACCTTAAGATCTCCCACGTACTATGGAGTGTCCACCTTTATTTTTGTTGAAACCATTGGTGGTTGACCAGAAACCGGATACCATAAAAAATGACAAGAAATTAACAGACAAAAGGGAGAAGAGATGCTATTCATGTTAAAAAATGGGGTACATTGCAATGAGTGCAATTCTATCACCAACAAGTAACAACAGAAATTTCAAAATAAAGCAGCTGGAGCTACCTACGAAAATGGTTCTGGCAAGAAACAAGAAAAGAGTGGCTATCACCATGGGTTCTGCTGCCAAAAGAAACTGAATCAAAACAACTTACCAAATTCACAAGAAGGAAGTGCTATCTCTAGGATTAAACAGTATACAACTGATGGTCAGATAAACTTAGTAAATGGATCAATAGTGCCAGTAGTGATTGGAGCATGTGACAAACATTGAGAGGTGCCAACAAACCACAAGATGCCAATAGATAAAGGCTATATTGGGGACACTGGGTGCAGTAGTGCAGCAGTGAGAACCAGTCTGGGGACAGTGAGAAAGTTTCCCATAGACTATTGTGTTTCTAAGCATCGATTTAGTACACATTTAATGTACTGTAGTATAGTTTTCACTTTTATATTTGTTAGATATACACGACTGTTCATTTTAAGTTTAATAGGACAGTATTATGTAGTTTATATAGTGGGAGCGTTAAAGTAAATTATTTTTAGAAGCCTTAATTATGGCAAATTTGCTTACCTAACTGTTTAAGAATCATTTGTTGTGTAGTTCAGTTGTTGTGAATTTAAGTCATGTTACTTGAACCTTACGAATTTTTCTCCTTGCTTTAAGTGAGTATTGTTAGATCATAGCTCTTGTAGTTTGTAAAAACTTCTAGGGCTCAGATGGACTATTTATAAAGACACGTCTAAAATGTAGTGCGAGTTAAGTAAGTTAGTGAAAGTGAAAATAAGGCAAAGCTAGTGATAGATATAGTTAAATAGATCTAGACTGTGCTTGTAAGTTTAGCCATAATGAGTCTATAGTAGACTTTTAAAGTGTAATAATCGCAGATTGTATTGTAATAACAGAGTAGAGAATAATAATTCGCCTTGTCAATTGGCTTCTTAAGTAAATGAACCAACCTGTGTGGACTATTGAAATAAAACATAACTATTTAAAGCTCTGGATACAACTGTGGTAATAGACAGAGTAACGTAATTGAACTTATCACCGATTGTATTGTGATAACAGAGTAGAGACGAATAATTCGTCTGTAGTGATACTTCATAAGGTGGACTGACATGTCCAAGCGTGAAAATAGTTTTGAAGGACTGGCAGATCTACCAATACGTGAACAGTATATTATCATGTCCTTAACTGACATGTCACTGTTCCTAAAGGAGAGAGAGCACCAAAAGACGTGGACAAGATGATTCAGCTGGTGGAACAGTATATGGAAATACATGGAGGGAGTATAACTGGCAAGTCTAAGAATAACCAGTTAAAGGCCCATTATTTTAACGAGACAACTATTATAGCATTACGTATGCCAGTTTTTATTACACATACTATATTAATTTATCCATTATTTTAACGAGACAACTATTATAGTATTACGTATGCCAGTTTTTATTACACATACTATATTAATTTATCCATTATTTCAACGAGTCAACTATTATAGCATTAGTATGACAGTTTTTATTACACATACTATATTAATTTATCCATTATTTTAACGAGACAGCTACTATAGTATTACGTATGCCAGTTTTTATTACACATACTATATTAATTTATCCATTATTTCAACGGGTCAACTATTATAACATAGCTGATAATTTGTATTACACATTTTTACATTTATCTGTTCTGAAAGGATTTTTCATTATCTAATGCTCAGTTTTTATAAATATTGAACGAGACAGTTATATTATTATTCTACAATTTTTACTTTTAACTTTTTAGAGCATATCATAAAATCTAGATATTGATGACGTAATCACAAACTGAGACACCCTACGATGAGCTCATTGCCCTATTGAACTATTCATTTACAGAAACACCACTCCCCCTTGCAGTTAGCCTTGGTAACACAATTTGTCATCTGTCTGTAAAACATTAGCAACACAATCCACTTAGTAACATCAACCGCGTTTGTTTGTTTGTAATTAAGCACAAAGCTACACAATGGACTATCTGTGCTTTGTCCACCACGGGTTTCGAAACCCGGTTTTATATAGCGTTGTAAGTCCGCAGACATACCGTTGCGCCACTGACCGCGTTTGTAAAACACATGCAATACTGTTAAATGTGTAAACGAAAACTATACACATTAATTTGATACGAGTTAATATCCGTATGCAGTCCTGTCCGCCTATAGAAACACCACCTGCCTTTGTAAGATATACGCAATTAAATATATAAATGAAAAATATATATTTCATATAAACTAGAGGTCAAAATAGCAGATTTAATGCTTTACTTATAAAGTGAAACTGTAATTGTGATACAAAAGTTTTTCAGTACTGATAATTTTAAACACAACTTTATGCCAATTATATTAAATTGTTAATTTTAAGGCTTTGATGGTTACTATAAGGTTGATGACATGTTGATCTACATTACCCTCTGATGGTTCACTCTCAAACTATCTGCGCGCTCATCATACCAACGCGCCCTCTGGTGTTACTTCATGGAATTATTTCCCTAAGACATCTGCGCCCTCTGGTACCTAATACGTAACAGACATGTAACCCTCAGATGTTGGCCTATTACGTAACTGTTATTTTACTCTCTGGTGCTGGAATAATTTGCACATTATACAATAGTTATCTAACTTTTGGCATAATTTGCTTAGTATTTAATGCTATGTAGCCTTCAGGCGACATCCTTTGTATATTACATAACAATTATGCAACCATCAGATGTCGGCATAATTTGAATATTACATAATATTTAGGTAACCTTCACGCGATATCCTTTGATCTCCCAAATACAGGGGTCATTTTGTTGTCAGCATGGGTTATAAGTATAAGATTGGCGCAGTGTGGCTATATTTTGATAATTGGATGTAATTCTTACCAATATAAACCTAAGACTCAGATTTCTGTTTCTTAAATCTAAAAATAAAAGCCTTACTTAGTGTATCACACTGGTGATACTGATAGTGATATCTAACTATTCCACTTATTGTACAGAGTTTTGTCTGTACTGTTAAAGTGTTGTTGATCTATATTGTGCTTCGGCCACTTAATAAAGTTTTTTTGACCAGTTTCTATCTATTTACATCACTTTTTATATAATTTTCTAAGGTACGTACGTTTGTGAGTGGTAACCAGTTTCTATCTATTTACATCACTTTTTATACACTTTTCTAAGGTACGTACGTTTGTGAGTGGTAGTAATGTTTTCGTATTCTTGCAAAAATCTACAAATTTTTGTCTCGACTTTCTTTCATATTTGAAAGGCTTTAAAATATATTTTCAATCATAGAAGGTTTTCCTCAATTTAATTCATGTATATTTTATTGTGGTTCTGTAGGTGGCATCTGGTGGGATTACTTTTAAACGGATGCGTTGCTTTAGTTGGAATAGCCTACACAGGCATTCTGGTGTATAAAAATGCCTACCCTCCAACTATCATGATCGCCGTAAGGGATTTAAGGTATTTTTCTCTCATTCTTTTATTAGTTTGTGGAAAAACAGTCACTGTAGAATATTTTAACTTTGTGTCACATAGTAAGATTTTTTTTCGTGGACATCAGGTTTTCGAATAAACTGAAAATGAATTAAGAATAGTGTAGTTTATGTGAATAAATATGATAAAAAATGCACTGTGTTTTCACACAAAGCTGGAAAAAATACATTTGAGTACAAAAATATAGGTGATGAAATAAATTTACAACCTACAACTTTTCCAGTTATTATAGAAGTATAAAATATATAAAAAACACATTCATGAAAAATAAAACAAAAAGCGACTACAGATGGCGCTGCAAAATGTTAAGAATTCAATAGAAGCCAATTCAAAGTTTCAATACTATCTCTGTTCATTTTAAACAGACATCAGACGATGGAGCACGTGATATACATCATGTCCTCATAGACATGTATTATACAATGTTGAGTAAACCGTTTTTCTTAGTTGTTAACTTTGCGGAGTTGTATTAGTTCTATTGGGTGAGTGAATGAAGGATCTGTAACATTAAACTCGCACTTGTAACTGCAATTCGTAATGGTGTCATGTGATTAATTAACAAATACGGTTTCAAAGTTATCATGCAAAGCCACCTATGGTCGTTTATTTATTAATGTGTTCCGCATATATTTTGATACATTTCTGCCAAGTAGAAAAGCTATAGGTTCCATAGTTCTTGTACATTTATACCAAAAATTATTTTGTGCCCGTAATGTATATTACAATTTCAAATAACCTTATGATATAGTAACCAAAACTTTATATATTGCGTAACAATAAAATATCTTTTATGGTGTTAGAAAAGAAACGTATTCTTAAAAACTATATCATGATGTTTCACACTTTCCCTGTATTATGATGTTTTATACTTTCCCTGTACCAAGATGTTTCATACTTTTCTTGTACCATGATGTTTCATACTTTCTCTGTACCATGATGTTTTATACTTTCCCTGTACCATGATGTTTCATACTTTCCCTGTACCATGATGTTTCATACTTTCCCTGTACAATGCTGTTTCATACTTTCCTAGTACCATGATGTTTCATACTTTCCCTGTACCATGATGTTTCATGCTTTCCCTGTACCATGATGTTTCATACTTTCCCTGTACCATGATGTTTCATACTTTCCCTGTACCATGATGTTTCATACTTTCCCTGTACAATAATGTTTCATACTTTCCTTGTACCATGATGTTTCATACTTTCCCTGTACCATGATGTTTAATACTTTCCCTGTACCATGATGTTTCATGCTTTCCCTGTACGATGATGTTTAATACTTTCCCTGTACCATGATGTTTCATGCTTTCCCTGTACCATGATGTTTCATACTTTCCCTGTACCATGATGTTTAATACTTTCCCTGTACCATGATGTTTAATACTTTCCCTGTACCATGATGTTTCATGCTTTCCCTGTACCATGATGTTCAATACATTCCCTGTACCATGATGTTTCATGCTTTCCCAACTACTGAACTTTATACTTTACTTTAGTGTATTGTTTATTTCTCAATATATAACAACTTCTCTGGTGATTTTTTTTCAGTTCCCTGTACGAGTTTGGAACTGAAGTTTATATTAAACCTTTCCATCATGTTGGAGCTTATTGTGTCGGAGTAGCATTTGGATTTCTTCTCGTGAAGCATAAAAACTTAAAGTTTCACCCAGTAAGTATTACACATCTGAAGACAGAAATATTTCGACGACTGAGTAAGTTTACAGACGGCTTGTATGGGTAATGTAGAAAACTTTACTACAAGTTTAACACAGTAATAACGGTGCAACATTTCGTCAAGGTTTTGTCACCACTAGTTGGAACTAGTTTACCTAGATATGGAAATATACATACAGCATGAAAAAAAAAGTCATGCGACCGGAATTGCTTAATTTCTGAGCTAGGGTGCTGATTTAGAGTAGCCCAGTGTTTGTTACATTAATATTTGACATTAATGGATTTTTAGTTTTTCTTTAAAATTAGTGATTTTAAAAAAATACTATGTTTTATCAGTTACAATGGTTGAAAACATCGGTTTTTTTTATGTTTTGTGAATATAGTTTCCAATTTTCGTTAAAAGATAGTTTTACTTTCTGATTCCAAATAGAGACAAATAAAAATATGAACTACCATGTTTTAGTGATTGATGTATAAATATGTCACATTTTCTATTATTAGATATTATCCGAATAACTTTTACACTTATTTATCAGCCAAAAATGTCGTCAAATGAAATGTGAAACAAACTGACAATTTAGAAACACTTGACAAACTATATAGAAATAACAAAGGCAGTTTAAGAACCAATTTTCTTTCATGTTTAGCTAATTCTAGTATTGGGATGGCTTTCTGCAACGGCATGTATCCTTGCTGTAATATACGGACTTAACCCATACAGAAGTGGAACTGTAGCGACACCTATAATTGCTGCTTTGTATTCGGCTGCTCACAGGACAGTCTGGGCCTGTGGGGTTGGATGGATTGTAACTATGTGTGCTACCGGTCAAGGAGGTAAGATAAAGAAAAAAAATACTTGTGTATCTGACTTTTTATATTATATTTTTAATGCGTGAATCTCAGTGTTAGTTTTATGATATACATAGGAACTGATTACTTACATAAGTTTCTCAGTGTTAGTTTTATGATATACATAGGAACTGATTACTTACACAAGTTTCTCAGTGTTAATTTTATAATATACATAGGAACTGATTACTTACACAAGTTTCTCAGTGTTAATTTTATGCTACACATAGGAACTGATTACTTACATAAGTTTCTCAGTGTTAGTTTTCTGATACACATGGGAACTGATTACTTACACAAGTTTCTCAGTGTTAGTTTTATAATATACATAGGAACTGACTACTTACATAAGTTTTTCAGTGTTAGTTTTATAATATACATAGGAACTGATTACTAACATAAGTTTCTCAGTGTTAATTTTATAATATGCATAGGAACTGATTACTTACATAAGTTTCCCAGTGTCAGTTTTATGATACACATAAGAACTGACTACTTACACAAGTTTCTCAGTGTTAGTTTTATAATATACATAGGAACTGACTACTTACACAAGTTTCTCAGTGTTAGTTTTATAATATACATAGGAACTGATTATTTACACAATTTTCTCAGTGTTAGTTTTATAATATACATAGGAACTGATTACTTACTCACATATTTTTCCTCCAATTTACAGGTATTATCAACCAGTTCCTTTCATGGTCATTGTTTGTTCCTCTAGGAAAACTAAGTTTTTTAGCTTACTTGCTCCACCCGTTGGTCATGACGGTTCACAATGCGCACATGAGGGAACGAGTCTACCTTGACCATTACGAAATGGTATGGTTTGTATAACGTTAACATCTTGAAATAGCTTGTATAACGTTAACATCTTGAAATAGTTTGTATAACGTTAACATCTTGAAATTACTTGTTTAACATTAACATTTTGAAATAGTTTGTATAATGTTAACAGTTTCAAATAGTTTGTATGACGTTAACGTATAGAAATAGTTTGTATAACGTTAGCATCTATAAATGGTTTGTATAACGTTAACATCTTTAAGCGGTTTGTATAATGTTAACATCTTGAAATGGTTTGTATAGCTTTAATATCTCGAAATGGTTTGTACAACGCTGGCATTAGTAAAAGCAATAATGCCCATGAAACTAAGAAGAGGTCGTGAATAACGTTCCAATCATGAAACTGAATAATGCACGTATAACTCTACCATTGGCGTAAGTATGCCCCCTCAGTTGAGGGGGTGTGGAGTGGCTCTAGCCGAAATGAGGCCCAAATCGTAACTGCAAATATATGGAAATATATGTAGGGGGCCTAATTACTTTTTACGCAGTAGGGCCCATCTTTTGTAGTTATGCCGCTGAACTCTACCGTTATAAAATTGATATTAATTATATAAAATGGTACAGTGTAGGTAGGTTTACCATATTAATATTTTATGTTATTACTTATAACCGTATACTCAATACTTAAAGAAGTTTCGGATATCATCTTTTGATCATACTTTAAACTGGGCCAATTTTAGTTGTGTTGCCCCCATTGGCACAGCGGTATGTCTGTGGACTTACAACGCTAGAATATGGGTTTCAATACCTGTGGTGGGCAGAGCACAGATAGCCCATTGTGTAGCTTTGTGCTTAATTACAAACAATAAAGTTGTGTCCTAATTATAGTCGCGTGAAGTGAGAAAATAATAACAGTAAAGAACGATTATAAATTGGAAAGAAAAGAAACATACATATAACAAATTCAAGGTATTAAAGTTACTGCTTTTACAAAGTAAAAAATCAGAAGACGTAAGACTAGGTAAATAATCAAAACATGTTAAAGGCAAAAGAAGATTATGATAGATTTAAAAAAGGACAGTCATTTTTTATCAATAAATCATTTTTTTATCAGGAGTTCTAAGTTCGCTTTATTTCTAAACTTAGTTGAAACTTCAAGATCTGAATGTTTCTCACAAAGTAGAGAAACATATGGAATTGAAAATACGTCCCATTTGTTAAAATACACTCCACTGCAAATTCTTGCAGGCACGAACGGAAAAATGGTGCCTACAGTTTCTCCTGCATAGGCGACCTAACAGTCACTTCTAATATTTATCTGTGGATGTAGGGAATCGGATAGAAAGTTTTTCTTATGAAAAACGTAGTTTGATCTCAAATATGATTCGAAGATTATATATTTTTCTGACTTGCAGATAAAATCTTTATTTACTGGTCCTCTGCTAATGGTTTTAGTAAGAAGAACATAACAACATCTCGACTGCACATTTTGTGCTCGCACGCCACTGCCGACGAGTCCTTTCGCATAACATAATAATTATCCGGTCGAGTGGTAATACAACCCACAAAGTTTCGGTTTTCTCTCCCTCCCCCACTTCTTTTCCACATCAAATGAGTTATTTTTATTGTTTGCTTTTAATATATGTATGTATGTATGTATATTTTTCTACGTTCATAATTTATCTTCTACCCTGATCAATATTTCATAGTTTTGTTAGTTACAGTTTGACTTGATTTACTTACTGGTGAAAAGTGTTTTTTATTTACAGTCTTTTATAATAGGTTTTGAGGATAAACTTTTAATTAGACAGGTACGATATTTTGATCCCTAGTGCGATCGTACTCAAGG